CAAATCACCTCCCGAACCACCCTATTCAAGGTGTGACAACATTTTTGAGACACCCTGTGTGTATGCATTAAAAATTGGATCAGATAAATTATTTATTATACTTTTTTGTACTAAATCTCTTTGTAGATATTTATCAGAGTAATATGAGATTTAGCATGGCGAATTCAATATGGTGGATCCAATATGATGAAAAGAATATTCAAAAGAAAATGGATTCATACTCCCTTCAGCTGAAATTTAGTATGTAAGGAGTTTATAGGCTACTAATTCCAAATACAAAAATGGAAATATTAAATTCAACATGGTGGATCCAATATGGCGGACTCAATATGGCGGACAAAGTCTTCAAAACACAACAGATTTGTTTGAAACTCGCTACTTGTGAGATTTTCGTGATTCCTCATTACGTAACAAAGTCTAGACCATCGAATGCATATATATAATTAGCAATATTATGTAAATATATTGTTATCTAAATATTTTCTAGCAATTTGTTACGTTATATTGGGATAAAAAACACCATGGATCGGTTAATTAGACATATTTTGAATTAACAAAATAAAAAAAAAATACAATAAAATATCTAATTACAATTGAAATGTCTATTACATGGAAATTGAAATGTTGCGCGTGCTTCTCGTATTATTTTTATTTCAGAGAACAGGAAGAAGTGTAAACACAGAGCTGGCAAGAAAGCTGAAACTGGCACCGCAGGATGCGTCCTTCCTCCCGAGCGCACACAGACAAGGAGGCATTCAAAGAAAATCCTAACTGTTTACCGTTGCAGTAAACCGAGAGCTTGCCTCGCTCCGAGAATTGATAAACTGTGAATGGTTCCTCGCACACGTCTCGAAAGACATTGGGACGCATCTCAACGTTGGTGAATGAACCAGGGGAATCCCAAACCATAGAATACATAATTTTATAGAGGCGAAAGTTCACATGAGAATTTTCAATGCCGGATACACTCATCTTTTAATTAGGGAATTTTTAATCAGGGCTCTAAGAAAATTAAATTACTCTAAAAACAATATTGTCATGTTACTGGTTCAAATTGTTTAGTTCAGTTTAGTTAGTTTACCGGTGAAACATAAATATTTGGATCCTGTGTATCTATCTCCACCCTTTGTCAGTGAATCCAGCAGCCATCTAGTGTTGAACGAGCCCTACTAATTTTAAGCGAAATAGTTGCCAGTTTTGTGCTTGATGGCGCCACCATGCAAAGGTATACCGACAGTAGGTAAATAATAAATGAAATTCAAAATGATTCATTAAATGACTACGAATTTGGAATCAAAAAGCACCAAATCCGAAATGGTTGAGCCAATATGGCGGACGAAATATTAAAAAATCATACCGATTTGCTTGAAACTGACTATTTTAGAGTTTTCCTTATAAAAAAAAGCCACCAATTTAAATCACTATCGATACATATATATATATATTCCAGAAATAAAAATTTATGTATATATATATAAATTTTTATTTCTGGAATATTTCTCGTCAAATTTGAACGAAATAAAAGAATTTCTTAATAGAATAGTTAATGTTCGAACAAATAAAAGATGAAAAAAACGTACGCTTTTTTCTTCTGTATGAAATTGTTACATCGTTTAATTCATAAATAAAATTGAGGCAGTTTTATGTAATATAAATAATGACTTACGGATCCTATTTCAGTTCTCGTTAGTGTTCCTGGTACGCATCGATCGTTAATTACTCTGTATAAGCTCACGACGAGTTCAGATTAAATTAGAATTTGTTTTTACAGCTTTAGCGAGCATGGTTACAGTTCCACTTTTTCGGAAAATTATTTTTTTTTCAGGCGATGTGTACTATCCATATATAAAATGAATGCATCACCACATTTTCAAGATTGATTCGTATCCACCACTTATGTATTTCTCACTAATCTGCTAAATATATTTACAAAATCAATGTCTGTGATATAAGCTAACCTTTCGCTAATTAGTCCAATTAGGTTTTCAATTTCGATTTTCATTGGCACATCGCGGAATGAACTTCAGCTATTTTATTAACATAAGTTTGTGCAGCGTGTTGTTTCGTGAAAGAAAATTGATCAGAAGTAACGGAAATTAATTGAAAAATGGAAGTACGAAAGTTATAGAAAAATTGTTTAACTATCATTGAGCTGGGTCAATGATTGTGGAAAGCCCCTACGATTTTATTATACTCTTTCACGCTTGTCCCTCACTCTCTCTTTCACTCTTGCACATAACGCATCGAATAATTTTAAGTGTGTCCAAACTTAGCTTTGAAACTAAAGATAACCAATCGAAAGAATCTGAATCGACAACAGCGTTAAATTCTTAGAAACAAATGAAAGCATACGACGCTTCGTTTCTAATAAACACTCCAACAGATTTACAACACAATTTCTGTTACCCTTGCTGTTATCCTGTTTGTAAATACAGCACAACTTACATTGCACGGTTAACTTTCATATAAAAATCCACCACACGTACATCAGCAAATTCGAAACTGAAGGATTGCATAGTACAACGCAAACAAGTAGATGGACTCTAGAAGTCTTTACCTCGATCAAACTCTTACGTTCTCACTGTTATCACAACTCCTTTCATCCTCCTTATTTTATCTAGAAAAACAGAGACGAATGCTTTGCATCCACTTTTAACCTATTCCACAGCGATGCTCGTCAGAACGTATTTCACTATGCAAACGAATGCCGCGAAGCCGATGATGACAACAAGATTGGTGAACACTCTGCTCAATGGGCTCTGGTCTTTTTGGAATTGATTCAGTATCAAGGACGAACCTTCTTGTGCCGTACATTGGTACATTGCCTGCTTCTCTAACTCTTTCCTATGTTCCAATTGTTTTTTTATAACCTGCAGCGTAGGAATGCTATTGCAATTATTCTGAATAAATCTTCATCTATGATAGAGTTTTACATAGGATTCTGGAATATAAAGATACTTATTATCAGAAATATTGAAATATTAGTACCTCAACGGTTTCTGGGAAGAGGTCGCAGAACATTTTGTCCTTTAAATTGTATTCTAGACTTTGTATAGCCAGCTGTTTCTTTTCGTAATCCGTTGTGTTAATGCTACCCAGAGTAGGGCTTTTCTCAACCTGCAACGAAAGGGATATACATTGAACACCAAAGTATGAATTGAACTATTCAATCTACTATTTGGTATCTACACACCATGAAACTTAGCAGGCCAATGAGAATAGTAGACACGCTCCAAGCCGGATTCCACGTGTCTGGATGGAAATCAGAGATGGACAAGCATAATTTGGTATTGACTTTAAACCGGCCATTGGGTGTGCGCATGTAAATGCTAGGAGGCTGAAAGGGATACTCCACAGGAAATTTGAGCTTTCCGTGGTAGAATCCACCTTCGTACGGAGTTTCTTCTGGGCCTTTCACTACGTAGTGCCTTTAAAAATATCATGAGGTAGTGTTATAAAGTATCGTGCAGTGATTTAATAAATATAATTACATATACAGAAATTACAATTCAGAAATGTACCATTCTAATATATTGGAAGGTACCGGTTCCGCGAGCACGTAGGGTACAGGATCTTTCTTGAGACGCAAGTAATCTTGTTTCAATATCGCTGTTGCACTAGTTGCTTTTCTGTTCATATCGGGTGCAGACTTTGGTATAATTTTCATATAAATGCTTGTTTATTCTTGGTATGCGGTGTTTGGTATATTTTGAGGAATGATCTCTCCAAGGAGGATTCTTAGAGTGATATTCCTTTCGTTCAATGTCTTTTGTTAATTCGTTACTGCTTTGGTCGGGCGACTCTTCTGGAGCAATTCATGGAGTTTTAATTTGAGAGTTTAACAATGTGCTCCACTTAGAAAATATATTTCCTTTGAAATCATACAGTTTACAGTAACCTGTATGAGTGCTGTTTCTCAGAACTGTTTGAATATAGGTTAAGTTACACTCATATACAGATGTGTCAAATTCAAAACTACGTATAGTTTATCGCATGAAAATTGCTCGTTGGAGAACTTTTGAATCTATACTCTGACGAATATTCGTTAATTATGGTAAATTTGACAGCGACCTTTTTACGACAGAAAACATATGACTATGAAGCACAGGGTGCATCCAAAAAGAACACAGCCGCTCATTGAGCCGCTCAGTGAGCGGGTGAGCTTAGGAATTCTTCGACAACAAACATATAGAGATTATTTAAACTATGTAAGAAGTGTTGAAATGTTGAAATAATATGTTAAGGTAATATATCGTGGTGTAACAAAGCAAAAAATTACATTAATTATTCATTTATTTAGAAATTATGAATGATTTATTAAAAGGTGACGGTGGCGCCATCGGTGACAAAACGCCTAAGTTTGTAGCGAACAGAATTCTCAACTATTGCTGCTAGATGGCGCCACAAACTAAAGGGTCGATAATTATTGCTATGCTAAATTCCTAGGTCTAAAAATCGACCACAAACTTAAATTTAAAGATCACGTACAGGCAGTTTAGATTCACTGCTATAAACTCTTAAACATCATCAAGTTCCTGAGGAGAACGTGGTGGGGTTGTGATCCACAGTCTCTAATAACCATTTATAAAGCGCTAATCAGATCCAAAATTGATTATGGCAGCATGTGGTACTTCCCAGCAGACAACAAATCCAGGAACACACTGAAAGGTATCCAAACTGAGGCTCTTTGACTGGCAATGGGATATCAAAGGTCTACTCCAACTAACGTCATTCTAGCAGAAACTCACCTAACCAGTCTAAAGGACTGCTCCAGCTACCTGGGCTCAAAATACCTACTAAAAGCAATCTCCAATGGCTCGAACCCCATAGTTAAATTACCAGCTGACTTCTGCAAAGTTTACAGAGAGCAAAGATACTCTTTCAATCCATTGAAGGATAAAGACAGACCACTTGTACGCAGCATTGACCTAATTGAGGAGTTTACTCCCCTCATAACCAGACTACCAAATCTCCTCTCCAACACATCAGATTACATGGCACAGTTTGCACAACCAAAAATAGAACCAGAATTCTTATCCAATCTGAGAAACACCGCTCACCCAACTTTCATCTTCCAGGACACAATACTAAGCAAATATCTAAGTTACAAAATCATATATACAGATGGTTTTAAATCAGATAGTCTTCCGGCAGTAGGTGCTGCCTGTGTCATTCCAGAAGACAACTATACAAAAAGGATCTCTCTTCTTTCGTATTATCTCATGTTACGAATAAGCTGAAACTCTTGCTAAAGAAGCAACCTATCAAGATGTAAACCAACTAGAAAAAATATCCTTCAACGATTTAAACAGCATCTGGAAAAGACAGACGTGGGAAGACACTAACAACCACATACAAACCAAAGCCAATCTCAAAGGAACACTATACTTTAACACATACTATGAAAACAAACAAAAACCATGGTTTCATAACAAAAAATTACCCAAGTACATTACCTCTTGGGTCACACGTTATAGAAATAACCACTACAACCTAGCAGCATCTTTGGCGAGAATAGGAATCAAAAACAGCAGTGAATGCCAATGTGGGGCAGACTACCAAGATTTGAATCACATTCTTTGGGACTGCCAGCTCTACACAGACAGTCGTATAAAAATGTTAAGACAACTTCAAAAAGTGGGATACCCATCGCTTCAAAAAATAGAACCAATTCTGGAGAGCAACAACACCAACATAATAAAAATTGTATCAGCATTTCTTCAAATCAATAGAATCAACATTTAAACACCACCAACACCTTCAGAAGTGGCTTATACAACTCATAAGACTGAGTCATATGCCATATATTCTAAACAATTTATTTTTATATTATTATTGTACATATTTCTTGTTATAGTTTTTACCTAACTAAGCATCACTTGACTGTGTATTAAGACATATATACTATAGCGCTTATCAATAAAAAAAAAAAATTATTATTGGTAAATTGAATAAATATTTATAAAATGATAAATTTATTTAGTACTAACAAATATATAGTAGCGTCATAAAGCAACGAAACGTAATAATGAAATTTATGAAAAAGGAAGAGTAATTGGTACAAAGGTGTCGGTGATGCCATCTAGCAGTAATAGGCGGAAATTATTTTCACTAGAAACTTGGAAGTTTCGCCACCGATGGCGACACCAATACGAAAAATATGTCGGATATGTCCCTAGACCGGACCGCAGGTTAGTTAGCTAGTAAGTTTTTGTTACTTAGTTGGTAAGTTTAATTTTAAGTGGCATCCCTTCTCCTTTTTGTAACAGACAAAAAAAAGATTGGTTCTTCTTCATTCAAAGGAACGCGTCTGAACGTGTCGCATAGACAACATAGAAAATAAAGTATAATTCTCCATAGACAAGAACTTACTAGCTAACTAACCTATAGTGCTGCGGTCCGATCTAGGGACATTTTCGCCACAAAGATTTGTGAGCTCTCTCGCTCACAGAGCAGCTTAGTGAGCGTTTGCGACGCGAAATTTTAAACATGCTTTAGATCCCATCGTTGAATACCGACTTCCACCTTACGATAAACGATCGAAACCCTTTCAACCTACAAACTTTTCATTTTTTTCCATTGAAACTCGATATTCAAATTAATTTTTAATTAATCCAACCAAGTATGAAAAACGAAAATGAAAAGAACGTTATTGGTTCAAAAAGCACATTCACGAGGGCAACTACTTATAACATATTTATTTATAATGTTGTAATAATATACTCCTTATCGTAGACATATATATTTATATCATATGGCAGCATAGTATAATGACATTGTATAATATAGGTGAGGTGACAGAACGATTTCGTATTTTAATTCTTTTGTTTTCACATCTTTACAAGCACACGGTCACGCACACCTTTCCAGCCCTGGTATTATCGTGCCTAGGGATATTTTTCTTCTCCCCAGAAATATTTTTCTCTCCATATTTCCCGCTCGTATAACCTCGAGTTGCGAATCGATTACAGCTGAAACTCGCCAGGGCGTGTCTAAGCGTGAAATAAAACATTTTTCGTCGTCTTTTGTCGGTAATACCTGATCTCCTCTTTCGTCGATGCGATTAATTAGCATTCAATTAATGACGCCTCGCGGTATGCGCGCGCGCACCGACCGCATACTGCGAACTTATTTCGATATAGCAGCTACTATGCCTCTCGTAACATTGTCTCGTACTTACTAGTTAAAATATCAATATACATTATAATATACTCTATATAACGATAAATCCAACATCTTAGTTAATTTATTATACTTTGCAACTTAGAAAAATAGTCCTGGCTAGGCGTGGCCGCGTCCCGTGGGACTTCGCGAACGGTTTTTTAAAATGTTTTAAAAAACATTTTCGGGATTTTCGTGGGTGTCGGTAAACACGGGAGCCGTAATACCGATCGATCTTCTAGGGAATTTATTTTCTCGGGTGTATCGATGCCTAACTTTATCGACGCGGAAAATGGCGGTTCGTAACTTTCTACAGACGGCACGTTTGATTCTTATCGTTACAATTTAGCGAATAATATATGGAAATTTTCGAATTTTTGATTAAGCATCGGTATTAATCGATTTCGATTAAATTGGAATAGAATCGTTGTCCATACGCTCGTAGAAAAAATTCTAGGAGATCACCTAATTGACTGGATTCACTGTTGTACTTTCGTGATTCAGGAAAGAAAGACTATTCTTAAGATAGCGGATCACGTCTTTAAATTCTGATTCACGAATAATTATGGACTCTATCGATCCTCTATGTTATTTTCTATGATCGTATGGTATAATGCTCGAATAGTAACGAAAGAAAGACGGGGATTTTGATGAAATTTTAGGTTGGAATGGAAATTTTGAAAAAATGAACGATTTATAAAATTCAATTATTTTTTTCCAGGGAAAGAAAATTGAAGAGTATTTCTAGGGACTTTTGGTTAACGTGTACTTGGTGGGATTAATCGAATTAATTAGTTGTCTTTCGATCTTTGAATTGGTACCTCTGGAAAGTTTCACAAAAATCCCTAGAACCCAATATGGACGACTTCTCACCAGAATTCCCCATGGGCGACTAGTTACTTTTTAAATTTTAGAATCGAATTAATGAGTTGTCTTTCGATCTCTGAATTGGTACCTCTGGAAAGTTTCACAAAAATCCCTGGAACCCAATATGGACGTTTTCTCACCAGAATTCCCCATGGGGGACTAGTTAGTTTTTCATTTCAGGCGTAAATTAATCCAAAGTCGGGTAATACGAACATTTAACAAGCTCGCTGGAGGATTTGTTGGTAAGTCGATTGTTTATTGTTACCTTTCAGCACGTAAACGAACGTTTAGCAAGAACACGCGATGCGGTCACGGCACAATAAAATCTATGAAAAACAATCAACGGAACAACGGTAGTACTACACCTCTCTTAAATTGTCACGCTCTACTATATGTCTACTGTTGATTTATAATCGATCGACGATCGCAAGCACCATCGATCATCCTCTCGGGATTAGCGTGGACTTAACACCGACTAAATCGTCGCCAGAATCGGTAACGTTCGAATTCCTACTTTTACAATTTCCTTACTTACGCAAGATTTATCGTTTCGCTATTAAACATCACCCTCAGCACGTCAACGTGTGATCGATGGTAAATAACGAGAGAAAAATCACTATACAGGATGTCCCAAAAATGTTGGAACACTTTGAAAGGGGTAGTTCAGGAGGTGATTTGAAACAACTTTTTTCTTAGCGAAAATGTTGTACGAAGCTTCGTTAAGGGGATATTAACGGAAAACACTGACCAATCAGAGCGCGCGGCGGCCGCACTCCCGGACCAATCAGAGCTCAAGGCGGCTGTGCTCCCCGACCAATCAGAGCGCGAGTCAATACGCGCCAAGCGGCCGCGCTCATACGCTACCGCTCTACCGGCATAATCGCGCTCTGATTGGTCGGGGAGTGCGGCCGCCTCGCGCTCTGATTGGTCAGTGTTTTCCGTTAATATCTCCTCAACGAAGCCTCAGACAACATTTTCGCTAAGGAAAAAGTTGTTTCAAATCACCTCTTGAACCACCCATTTCAATGATCTTCACCGTTTTTGGGACACCCTGTATTATCATGAACCCTCGGACTATAAAAATAACATAGGTATCACTGAGTATTTCGAACCAGAATCATGTTGGCTACACTGTTCTTCATTCTATAACAAGTGTATCTAACTCTGTTTACTAATTCTTATTAAGCTTTAAATAATAATATTTGGAATTGAAATCAAGTTGGCTACGCTGCTTCATTGTTTAAAGATTGGCAACGAGTCCCGTAACGGTTTCTCGAGATGCCAGACTCAGTTTTCAATGGTCCTTTGTATGACATGTACTAGCTTTCATCGTTGTTGAATTTTAAATAATAAAGTCCCCAGACTTTCGACGTAACAAGGGCACCCGTTGAGTGTTTGGAACTAGAATTAAATTGGCTACCCTGTTTAGAATAGTTCGAAGGTTGGCAACGACTATAAATATATTCTTTAACACCGGAAGCTTTTTGTCTAAAAGAATGTTTCAGGGGTTCCCACGTCTAGTGGAATAATCGTAACGTTGGTATCGACCACTCGTTGACAGTTCCATTCACGGTTAAATCGAATAAAAAATAACCTAACGTCGGAGCATTCCCAGATTTCCATTTAAACAGACTGTACACTCGCTTCGGATTAGTAAATAAAATACGGAATTATCGTTGTGATCGGGTGTTCCGTGTGCGAAGATACTTCCTCGAGATCTGGTAACACCGCGACGCGATAAATCTTCGCAAACAATATAAAAAATGAAAAACAATACACACGGCCAAGCACGCCGGGGGAACAATTGGCTTAAAGTATACGTATTATTATTATTATTATTATTATTATTATTATTAGCAATTCGAACGCGCATCGTTATTAATAATATTATTATTATATTATTATTATTATTTCTTTTTTATATTATCGTTATCAATATTGTTATTAATATTATTATTGTTATCATTACCGTTATTATTATAATTATTATTTAGAACGACATAAAAAAGTCAGTCCTCGAAAGCGGAAATGGTTCTCCCGTCGTGCTTGGCGCTGGCGCAAATTTACGTTTGCCTGGAATTCCCTCAGAAACAGACTGTCTTTCTCTTTTCATCTTTTTTTTTCTCTCTTTCTTCCTATTCGTCGTTGCGATACGGGCTTGCAAGCGACTCGGGGAAAACGAACACGCGAAACAGCGAATAATACGAATATTTAGTTCGTGGCTACCAAAGGGAATCCCCTTAATTGATCTAACCGCGGAAAATTCCGTTTCACTCTTGGCGTTGAGGTCTACTCGTATCCGCGTACTTTTTCTTTTCTTTTTTTTACACTTTCTCTGGGTGTGTTCAGCTTCGGAGGTTGCTAGTTATTTTTCTGTTTTTCACGATACAAAGATTATCGTTGATTATTAACGAATTGATTATCGAAATTTAGAGGTATACATTTCTAGAGCAAGTTGGCGAGTGTTGGAGTTTGGGAACATTAAGAAAAGTCCCTAGGCAAGGAAGATGAATTTCAGTTGGTAGTATACGGTCTTCTAGTAACTTATCTCCACTCCGGAGGTTTTTGTCCTAGGTATGTTTAAGAGTAACAAGATACCAATTTCTATTGATTCAGTTTTCATACAGTGCTACCAATTTCACTCCGGATGACGAATAAGATCAATGTATGGCGGACGATTAAATTGTTCGCCTGTCTATTTTAAAATATTTCATTCTACGATTCAAATTCTGGTCTTCGTTTGCCGAATAACGCGTTAAAAGTTAATCTTTTCCTTAATTGCTCGTACTGTTTGTCTAGTGACATATCTACACACACAAAAACTCCCTAGATGGTACATCTTCCCAGGTGTGATATGTTAAGCAAGACCACGAGAAAAGTCCCTAGGCGATGTATCTTTGGGATTTTCGGTTTGATATGAGAACAAGACCGCGAAAAAGTCCCTAGGCAACGTCGTAGAAGCCGAACACATTTACAATTGACACTGTCGCACAAAAAACACACAATTTCATTCATTTCGATCCCCGATACTTAACCTCCCTCCCTCTCTCTCTCTCTCTCTCTCTCTCTCTCTCACACTATCTTCTCGATGATTTACAGTTGATTCTCTGGTTCGCATAAGCGGTCAGTGGGCGTCTTTAGTATGAGCGCACCGCGACGCGGCATTTACAAATAGTAATAATTATATCGTCACGCTACTATATATATATATATATATATATTTTTTTTTCGATATAATATATACAGGGTGTCCCAAAAATGTTGGAGGTCATTGAAAAAGGTGGTTCGGGAAGTGATTTGAAACAACTTTTTCCTTGGCGAAAATGTTGTCAGAGGTTTCATTGAAGAGATATTAACGGAAAACCTCGACCAATCAGAGCGCGAGGCGGTCGAGCTCCCCGACCAATCAGAGCGCCCGCGGTAGCTTGAGCTACGCGCTAGGCGGCCGCGCTTCACTGGCATATTCGTGCTCTGATTGATCGGAGAGCGCGGCCGCCTCGCGCTCTGATTGGTCAGTGTTTTCCGTTAATATCTCCTCAACGAAGCCTCGAACAACATTTTCGCTAAGGAAAAAGTTGTTTCAAATCACCTCCTGAACCACCCCTTTCAAGCTGTTACAACATTTTTGGGACACCCTGTATATACCTACTTGCTTGATATAGCGATCAATGATAGTTGTTTTTCTTCTCCTTCACTTTTATATGTATAATTTATATATATATATATTTTTTTTTTCTTGTCGTATGTATATATATATATAATCTCTTTCGCTCTTTTCGCCAAGTCACACTCGTCCTCTGGATCGCCTCCTACTTCGAGTTCGAGTATCGACCGATGCTTTCATCGAGTGCCTCCACTCGAACTTTCGCGTAAATACTGATAAGAACACACATTCATCCATTGTTTTGCTCGTATCACTGTTTCTATATCCTCTCCCCACCCTCACTTCAACCCCCCCTCTCCTGCCATACTGTCGCCCTCGTTCCCTCTTAGTCACACTTCCCCTTCTATAACTACTATGTATACCTTGCCCGTTCCCTTCTCGATCTCCCGACCGTGTCTTTCCCTCTCTGTCGCTATTTTTCTTCATCTTGATCCGCTCCATCCACTCCCCCCCCCCCACTCCTCTTCCCTCTATTCAGATCTGTAAATATATTTTTAATAGACTTGGAATCTTCAATTCTCTGGCCTACGCGTCGTTCCTTTCTCTCCGCTACACACTCACGCATTCTCGTTCGTGGTCGAACTCTAACCGAATTACGATTTGCACACCCGTTACATAAGTTTTCACTCGTTCAAGCTTAACGTGTACGGTAAAAGTATGTCCGGGGAGGGGGGAGGGGGGGCATCGGTTGCGTGTCAAATTGTTTCCTCCTATTTCCATCAGAAATCGTCAGACTCGACGACAGCGAGATCAGTCGATGTTCCTTTTTCACTTGAAATCTACGTTTTCGTAGGCTAATCTAAACCGTTATATTTGTTCGCGAACAAACGTTATGATACAGAATAAACGATTGAAATTAAGCTCGGTGTAATCGACGCGCAACAGATCCCACCAGCCAGAATTCCCTAGTCAATACTGTGGCTCGAAGAATTCCCTAGTAAATGCGACGACTCGGGGAATCCCACAGTCTACGCAGTAGCTCGGGGAATTCCCTGGCCAATACCGCGGCACAGGGAATTCCCTAGTCGATAATGTAGCTCGAAGAATTCCCTAGTTAATGCCGTGACTCGGGGAATCCCACAGTCTACGCAGTACCTCGGGGAATTCCCTAGCCAATACCGTGGCTTGGGGAATTTCCTAGTGTATGATACAACAAAGTTACTCGTGGCTACTCACTTGCACCGTTTCCGCTAACGGGGAACCTCGCAGGCTCCATTTTGTAACTGTAAGCTTAGTCTCGCTCCGTCGTGTAATTTTTCTTCGTGTGACAGTGATCGACATTGATATTACGCGTTTTGGGATTAAATGATCTAAGCGCTGATTGTATGTACAGGATTGTGGGGGACTGCTGTGAGCCACCGATTCGTATAAATGGTCACGTGAACGCCAAGCAGAATTTGTCGAATTGTAAACATTATTTCAATCCTTTCACGCGTTGACGAAACATTTTTTAAATTTCTATTCGATTCATTTGTTATCGTATTAGAGGTATTCAGGAATAATTTGGTTTCTCTTTTTTTGGTTGAAAGTGTCTGTTGTTAAGTTTCGTTTCGATGAGTTTGTGAAAGCATGACAGCGCCATCTGTTGATGGCAATTTAATCTAATGTAACATAACCTTTATTCTAACTAAATATATCGATGTTCACTGTATTTATTATTGAATAACTCCATTTTGATTGTACAATGAATAGTACAACATCGAGAAACGCTATTATTCGTGATTACCCTTAATAAAATAATTGTTAATCACGTTATTTAATAAACAATCTCCGCACGAAAGGGTCGACTATTGTCACTCGTTTCGCATTGTAAAAAATTTACTCGTACAAAAATGTGTTCCTTGGTAGAAAGTATAAAAAAGAAATACAGGATACCGATTATTTATAATACTGCAAGATAATAGATACATCCGACAAGAATAACATGAGATCGATGTGGATCAGTCCAGACTACGAAAATAATTATTTCGATGAACCTTGATGGCAATGCGTGTGCCGTACATCTCATTTCATGAAAATATGAGGTCAGAATATGGATATGTTGAGAAACTGAAGGAGATTTCGATGAGATTTCGAAATTTCCTTTTCCCATATTACCATCGAGGACTGCGTGGGGAACATATATAGAAAGAGGGGGGAACTTGCCAAATTTGTGTTCTGGGAATTCAAGAGATTCAAGACGTTTATACGGAAGAGGAATGAAGACTATTCGCACTATGAGACTTGGGGAATCCAACGGTTTACCCTGCGGCTAGGGAATTCCCTAGCCAATACCGCGACTTCGGGAATTCCCTAGCTAATACCGCGACTTCGGGAATTCCCTATACAAT